TTAGTGGTCCCCTTTCATGTAAACACAATCTTAATGGCTGGATTGCTTTTACAAGCAGCAAGAAAGGATGTCCGCCCCCCCTCCCCCCACCCCTCGAGCCTCCTTCCACAGTTTTTCTGTCTCTCCTGTCCGACCGGGGAACCCAAGAATGCAGCCGGATGTTCCACTGGCTGACCATAGGGCTGATCAGAGATCAGAATACTTCCAATCATCTCTATGGTCTAAGAAACTGGAAGCTACAAGCATTTCATCATTTCGGTTTTGCCGGATATAAACAGCTCCATTTTAAAATTGGGAAATAATCTGATTACACCTATCTTGGTGTGATAATATGCTTTAGGGCAGCGATTCTCAACCTGTGGGTCGCGAACCCTTTGGGGGTCGAACGACCCTTTCACAGGGGTCGCCTAAGACCATCGTAATACACATATTTCCGATGGTCTTAGGAACTGAGACACCGCTCCTCTATCCGTCTCCTGGTGGGTCCACCCACATGCAGATGCGCCCACATACGAGTACCCAGCGTGATGACATCATCACGCCAACCCATCACATACACCCCGTAAAAGTGTTTGTGACAGGGTTGGTGCCATAATGCACTTATGTGGACCAGTCACACATGTTTAAAGAGCAGCTACTGTGTAGAAAACAGCTGCTGTGTTGAAAGCAGCAGTATTGGAGGTAAAATTACACTTTATGAATTATAATTACTTGGTAATGTAAAAATTATGTACTGCAAAATCATCAACTACTGCAAAAAAAAATATTTGTGATTAATCACTATGCTTTAATTATGTTCAATTTGTAACAATGAAAATACATCCTGCATTTCTGATATTTACATTACGATTCATAATAGTAGCAAAATTACAGTTATGAAGTAGCAATGAAAATAATTTTATGGTTGGAGGTCACCACAACATGAGGAACTGTATTAAAGGGTCGGTGCATTAGGAAGGTTGAGAACCACTACTTTAGGGGCAGAGGAGAGATCTAGAGTCTAATAGACCCCAGATTTGTCAGAAAAGAGTACCTCTCAAGTGTGTCAGTATGTAAACAGAGATTGCACCCACCATGCATGTGTATCACTGTGAACGTCAGATCAAGGGCAGTAATTCTAGCACTGGACCTCCTGTGTAAATCTAAAGTGGTAACCTGTAAAGTCTTTTAAAGCGTCACCTATGGATATAAAAAATTTACGTAGTTTGTCGCCATTGCACAGAAATGCGCAATTTTATAGCATGTCATGTTTGGTAACCATTTACTCAGCGTGACATCATCTTTTATATCTTAGCAAACAATTGGGCAATATATTGTGTTTTTGTGAATTAAAATCCCAAAAAGTGTATTTTTTTCCACATTATTTGCATTTGAAAAATCACTGCACAAATACTATATAATGTTTGGTGGTTCAAAGTAATTTTCTAGAAAAAAAAACCCCTGTCTTTTCATGTAAACAAAAAGCATCAGAAAAGGCTTGGTCTTCAAGTGGTTAGAAGAGTGAGTGGTGTGGTGTCTGGCATAAGCTTCTAAAGTTGGCCCTCAAAGCACCCCCCCCCCCCCCAAATGACCCCTTTTTGGAAAGTAGACACTCCAAGGTATTTGCTAAGTGAGAATTTGAGTATTTTGAAGATCTCATTTGTTTTCACAAGTTTTTGCAAAATGAAAAAAGAAAACGAAAATTACTTTTTTTTTCTTTTTTAAAACCCTGTGACAAAAATGATATCTGCAAAATACTCATGCCTCATTTCAGCTTTCTTGGGTTGTCTACTTTCCATAAAGGGGTCATTTGGGGGGGGGGGGTGTTTGTCCTATCCTGGAATTTCAGGGCCTCAGAAAATGCGATAAGTAGTGAGGAAGTGACATGAGGAAATATGCCCTTTGAAAGTCTGGAGGTGGTCATTGGATTTTGGGAGGGTGTACGTAGCTAGGCTGCCAAAAAAGTCTCTCACATGTGGTATCCCCATTCTCGGGAGAAGTAGCAAAATGTATTTTGGGGTGTAATTCCACATATACACATGGTATGTGTGAGCAATATATCACTTAGGTGACAACTCTGTGTAAAAAGAAAAATAATTCCAAACATTTTTGGCAAACAATAAAATCTTTCACGGACTCAACATGCCTCTCAGCAAATTCTTTGGGGTGTCTACTTTCCAAAAAGGGGTCATTTGTTTTTTTTTTGTACTGCTCTGGCATTTTAGCACCTCAAGAAATGTGATAGTCAGTCAGAAAGAAAAAGCTGTGTAAATTGCAATATAGATACCATAGGTTGTATATGCTATAACTTTCAAACAAATGAACATAAACATATTGGGATTTGTTTTTTACCAAAGACAGATTACATTTCGGCCTAAATCTATGACTATCTTTGAGTTTATTGGATATTTTTATAACCGAAAGTAGAGAATACCCTTTTTTTTTTTCAAAATTTCTGGTCTATTTTTGATTATATCACAAAAGATATAAAACCCAGTGGTGATCAAATACCACTAAAAGAAAGCTCTATTTGTGTGAAAAAAAGGATATAAATTTAGTTTGGGTGCAGCATTGCATTACCAGTTGAAATAGCGCAGTGCCGAATAGCAAAAAATCGCCTGGTCACTAAGGGGGGTAAATCTTCTGGAGGGCAAGTGGTTAATAGCAACCTTAAGGCACCATGCACACTGGGCGTTTTAATAACACTGGTAACATTAGCTGTGTAAAGTCACGTTAAAAACGTGGGTTTTTCAGCGTTTTTGCATTAGCGGTTAGCTGCGTGTTGCCGTGCTTTGCCGTGTTTTTTTGCATTTGTGTTTTTAGCAGTTTTTTTTGCTCAAGAAAAGTCCAAAAGCCTTAGTTTGCTATGGTTAATCATGTTTTTCCGTGTTTTTCAGCATTAGAGCATTTTTACAGCAAAAAAACTCTAGAAACCCACTAGTTCTGGGGTTTTTTCTCCAGCCAAAAAACGCCCCTGCCAAAAAAGCGCTTATTACAGTCTATGTGTGCATAGACACATAGGATACCATGCTGGGGAGTTTACTGTCTGTAGAAAAAACCACCAAACGCCAAAAACAGCAGCTGTAAAAACGTCCAATGTACATGAGGACTTGGTATTACTTTAGGATTGCAAAGTAGAGAAGGCTGTGAAGATGCTAAGTGGCTTTCTAGGGGTGGGATCTGTTTAAGTCTAGGTTCACACCTATGCAGGTTGCGTTTTAGGTATTGCGTTTTTGCACTTGCTTTTCTTTTTCTTGCTGCTAGGCAGATTTTAAATGCAAACCGCATCAAAAACGCATGAAAAATGCAATACATGCTTTTCTGCAACATTCCCATTGAAGTCTCTAGAACCAAAAACGCAACGTTTTGTGTTCACAAAGTCCCTGACCCTTTCCAAAAACGCACCGGGTGAAATCACGGAGATGCGAACCTGTCCCATAGGAAATCGTGTTAAATGGACTGTACTTGTTCCACAAAATGCAAAACGCTGCAGAAAATGCTTAGGTGTGAACCTAGGGTAAGGCTCGGTTCACACTAGTGTGGGTGGAAGCCGCTGTGGGACCCGCATTTCATCCCGCATGCTGCAACCACCCGCACGTAAAATGGGGGACCCGCGGGCAGGTGCCATTAATCTTAATAGCACGCCGCCCATACTGGGAACTGCACTGTACTGTAGTGCGGTTCCCAGTGTGGGCTGCAATATTTGGGAAGGTGCAGGGACCTTTTTTTGCAAGGTGCGCGGCCAGCATTCAATTCAAATGAACACACAGAGGTGTGAATCTAGGCTAAGACCACAAACTCTCTGCATCTAATGTCCCAGTGAATATGAAAGAGAAGATCTGTTCTCTATACAGCCCTGTATTGTTATCATATACTGTGTATGGTGTACAGGTACATTGTAGACACAAGGTTTGCATTTAACCGCTTCCCGCCTGCCCTATAGCAGAAATATTGCTACAGGGTGGCACGGGTGCACAAAATCACATATATATATACGTGATTTTGCATCTCTGGGTAGAGGTGTGCGCAAGCTGTGCGCGAGCCCTACCCTTGCCACCAGGTCCCGCCCTGTAATTACTTGCCGGAGCCCGGTGATTTCCGAAGATCTCCAGATTTACTAACAGTTCTCCCTGTCAGCTTGGGCACACTGCTCTGGATGGCTGTGCACAGCAGTGTGATTACAGTGAAGCACACTGACATCGCCCCCCAGTAAAACACTCCCAGCACACAGTTAACCCTTTGATCACCCCTCATGTTAACCCCTTCCTGCCCAGTGCCATTAGTACAGTGTCAGTGTTTTTTTTTTAGCACTGACCACTGTATTGGTGTCACTGGGGGTGTCAGTGACACCAAGTCAGTTCCCCCCAGTGTCAGAATGCCCGCATCAGTCCCACTTTAAGTCGCTGATCGCCGCCATTATTAGTAAAGATAAAAAAAAATTACAGTGTATATACCGCCATTTGTAAATGCTATAACTTTCACGTAAACCAATTAATTGCAAAGATATGCAGCAGAATACATTTTAGTGTACATTTATGGCGAAATTAGATTTTTTACGTTTTTTTTACTGGACATGTTTAATAGCAAAAATTCCAAAATATTGTTTTTTTCTTAAAACTGTCAGTCTTATTTTTTTATAGCACAAAAAAATTAAAAATGTGCAGGCATTCAAATACCATCGAAAGAAAGCTCAATTCGTGGGGGGAAAAAAGGACATAAATCCCATAAGTGCAGTGCTGCATGACTGCGCAATTGTCAGTTAAAGTAATCCACGCCTTAACGCAAAAAATGGCATAGTCAGGAAGGGGGGGGGGGTAAATCCTCTGGAGGGCACGTGGTTAACACTGACTCCTCTGTGTAAACATACAAAGCCTCCGCTATACCCACTTACTGAGAGACCGGAGGTTCATGCGCAGTAAGGGGTGGCGGAGACGCGCTCGGGAACGGGCATGTGTGAATGGATAACAGATTGTGATTGGCTGGTCAGGTGACGCAGCACATGCGCTGTGCTGTTCGGCACGATGGCGGCTGCTGGGAAAACCGCTGTTACGAGGACAGTCGGGGCTGTAAAGCCAATTCTTAGCAGAGACCTGGGAGAAGCCAAACGGAGAGTGCGGGAGCTGTACCGAGCCTGGTACCGAGAGGTGCCCAATACAGGTGAGCCGGGCAGGAGAGGAGAGCTCCTCTGTTCTCTCCGACCTTCCTGGACGGTCACCTTGTGAGAGCTCTCCCCTTCCTGGAGGTGGAAGGATCGCCCTATGCACTCTGACCTCTCACCCTGTACATGGGGGACACCGCTGATACGGGGAGCTGCCTGCACGCCGGAAGTCACCACTTTTCATGTTTGATTCTGATGACCTCGTTCCTTTCCAGAACCAGGCTTTCAGACTTGGGTTATAAAGCCTCCAGAACCTTCTATATTTCCTGGAGAAGTTGTGACTTTTCTGTCACAGGATATCTGCACAATTGTTTATGGAACACATAGTTGTCACCCAGTAAGTCCAACACATTGTAGTGTGAAGACACAATATACTTCCCGAGGTTTGCTAAGTTAGAAAGGATGCTTGCTATGCGGACCCTCATGCATGTTTGCTCCCCAGCCACCGCTGCTGCTGCTGTGTGTCCATTGACGGAACGCGCCCCCACTCCCTCCTCATTGGATGTGACTGACAGCAGCAGGAGCCAATGGCTGCAGCTACTGCATCTCATTCCAGTGAGGAGGAAGAGAACCTGATCCTGTGCACATTGCCAAATCAAGATTGAGTAAGTAAAAGGGGAGCTGCACTCTGAAAGTGCTTTCCTTAACCTCTTTGCGCCTCCCAGCCCTTTAAGAGTTTCAGAAGGTGGGCTGGGGTTTTAGGGTCATGTGACTGCCTTGATTTGCCGTCACGGCAGTCACATGATCGGAAAAGGTCCTGATCAAAAGGGTAGATCAGGACCTTTTCCGGGAGTCGCGGACATATGTGCTGGGAGCGCGCAGGGCGTGTATTTTCTAATTGCACGCAATTATGCGACTGCTCGGCGTCAAGGCCCAGATACCGAGAGACTGCATATTTGCTTGTGATTGGCGTCAAGGGGTTAAAGCAGAACTACACTATATCTGAACACCACAAACCAAAAGCACTTAGTAACTTTAAATATATTCAAAGCAAACCCATCCGTCCATGTCTCCATGCTTTATTGTGGTGAGAAATCACTTCGAGAAACGCCACCTAGCATTTCTAGCCATGGTCATCTTGCGTAAGAGCAGACTATTCATTTGGCAGTTACTTCCTGGGATCTATCTGCCCTTAGCTTAGACATGCATGCAGGAAGGTGTACTTAGCTGAGTAAACCCCTCCTGAAGACACCTGGGATGTATGACATCCTTAGGCCTGGAAACCAAGAAGTAACTAAAGCGATTTAAAAAAAAGTTTGATCCAAGTAAATATGATATACTTTCCTATCTACAGTATTTACTAATGCTAACAGCATAAGATTTCAAAATAGTCCATGTTGATTGGGAGAGTAAAGTTCCAATTTAATGCAGAGAATGCATTAAGGTAAAAACTAGGGATTTAACGAAATTTCGTCTGAAAATAGCCCTGTCTGCATTCTTCCGCTAGGAAAAATTTAGCCGATATAGGGGACTGTGTGTACTGCAGATGTGGGGGGCGGCGGAGACAGGCAGGAGAGGAGCAGTGTATACAGTGACTGGCTGCGACTATATGTCAGTGCCGGTTTTTTAAATGTAATTAGCGGCTTTTTTTGTTTTCTTTTCACTATAGTTCACAGAATCAGCTGTCACTTTCCCCCCAGCTAAAAGAAACAAAGTTTCTTTTTAGTTTATTTTCCCAAGTTAAAAGAAACCAGGTTTCCTTTTAGTTTCTTTCCTGAGATAAAACAAAGTTTCTTTCAGTTCCGGGGAAAAAGACCACTCATTCTGTGAGCTAAAGTGAAGAAAGAAAAAAGCCGGTAATTGCATTTAAAAATCGACACCGACATATATTGACAGCCAGTGAGGGAGCCTCTCTGTATACACTGCTCCTCCTGCCCCCCACCCCCTCCCACCTACAAAGAGGACCTGTCACTCATATGCTATCACATAGGGGACTATTGGTCCCCTATGTAAGCAATAAAATAAGTTAGCAATAAAAATAAAAAAAAAACATATACGAAATCGAAAAAAATACAAAAAAAATTGTGGAGACTCCTCACCCTTACATACAGACATTTCAGTTCGGTTTTCAGCCACATGCATTCTGAATTTTCGGTTTCAGTTTTGGGAACCAGAAAATTTTCATTTCGGTGCACCACTATAAAAAACCTTGTGCCTTTAGAACCACTTGAACCATGAATAACTGCTAAAAAAATTGCTTTTTCTTTCTCCCTCCAGCATGCATGGCGATGTCTAACGCAATTGACATATACGTTTGCGTATGTATGTGGGGGCAGGCTCAAATTTTGGTGGGAGATTTCTTAGTGCTTGTGTATACCTTTTTTAAATTAACCCTTGACGCCGACTGCACTGGGCTATATGCCATTGGGCCACATATTTGTGTATCTGTCTGTGTGCTGGGAGCATGGCGCACTCCCAGCACAGACTGTGGTCTCACCGTGAGCCTCGGGTCTTGTACTAACAATCGGGACCCAGAACTCCCAGTTCCAGGTCACCTGATGCTGCAATAGCCTCTGATTGGCTATCGCAGTGATCAGTCACTGTGCAGCCTGTACTGTGTTTTCTATCTCTGAATGGAGGAGAGAGATGCATTGTATCTCTCTCTCTCTCCTTTCAGAAAAAAAAACTGTGTAAAATAAATATTAAAAATATAAAGAGAAAAATACCTAAATCAAGGAATCAAGGTTTGATCTAGGTCAGTGCCAGGCTTAATGTTTTGGTCAGGTAAGGGTCAGCATATTTTGGGAAGGATTTTTTTTTTTTTTTTTTAAGCCACTTGCCCTCCTGAGGATTTACCAACCCCTGGACATGTTGCTATTAAACATGTCCAGTAAAAAAATTTAAAATTTTTACTAGTAATGGTTGCGATCAGTGACTTATAGCGGGACTGCAGCAGGCATTCTGACACTGGGAGGAACTGACTTGGTGTCACTGACGTCCCCAGTGACACCAATACAGTGGTCAGTGCTAAAAAAAAAAAAAAAAAGCACTGACACTGTACTAATGGCACTGGGCAGGAAGGGGTTAACATGCGGGGTGATCAAAGGATTAACTGTGTGCTGGGTGTGGTTTACTATGGGGCTGGGGTTGTGTCTGTGACCTTCACTGTGAGCACACTGCTTTGAATGGCTGTGCTGTGCACAGCCATCCAAAGCAGTGTGCCCGAGCTGACAGGGAGGAGAACTGTTACTAAACAAAACAGCTCTCCTCCCCATCAGAGATCCTTAGTAATCACCGGGCTCCAGAGAGTAATAGCCAACCAGGACCTGGTGATTGACAGCCATGTACTTCTATATCACAACACTTAAACCTATAATATCCCAGAAAAGTAATCTACCTTCACCCTTGAAGGCCAGCTAAACAATATATATGTGACTTTTCTATAAGCAAATACATCAAATAAAACCAAAAATTATAAATAAAAAAATATATATACAAAACTATGAAAATTGTAAAAATTATGTCCAAAGTCCCACCGTGTCCAAAATCAAAAATCCAAAAAATTCAAAAAAATATAAAAAAAATAGTCCCCACAAAGTGTAAAACGAAAAGCTTAAACTTTTTCTTCTTCTTTCATCACCAAAACCTTCTTAATACTCGCAAATCATGATATTCATACACCTCAAAAAAAAGAAAAAAACTCGACATAGTGTCATACCTTAAATAATATAGAACACACGTGCCACTCGCTGTGCAGCATGCAAAATATTAACTAAAAGTGTATACTCAAAAACAAGTGTCAAAGCACATACAGATAAGTGAAATGACAATATGAGTGAAAAACACATTCACATAGGATATGCAATGCAATGTTTGAAAACCACTCCACAAAAAACACTGCCAGTGTATAACATTTAATAATATAACATTTAATAATATTTTTGATTGACAGCCATGGCCACAAAAAAAAGAAAAAAAATAGCAAAATGCGCACTGTTGTTTCTGGGCTGTACTGCGGGTACAAATTACATACACATATGTGGTATTGCTGCGATCGCCAGGAGCAGAAGAATTTATTTTGTTTTTTTTGGTGGTAGGTTATGATAGTAACAAGAAATATACAGCTGAATTTAAAACAAAATTTGTTTACTATTTTGGGTCAATTTTCATTTGCTAATAAAACAAAAAAAAAAAAATCAAGAGATCCATTACCATTCATCACCAAATGAAAGCCCAATTTGTCCTGAAAAACAAATTATAATCCACCTGGATGTACAAAGTAGTTGTGATATGTACGGTTTTACTAACACGTCACAGTTGCAAAATTGTCCTTAGGCATTAGGATTTGTTTTACCCTTAGACATGAAGGGGTTAATTAAAAAATAAGCGGAAGATGCCTTCATTGAAAACTGCATGCCAAAATAATCCAGAAATATAGGCAAATTGTTATATGCCAAGCTCAACTTTTTCCTGTAAAACTAGTACCGTGCTGCCCCTTTCGCCTCCTTGGCCTCCCTTTTGTTCAGTGAAGGGGCCCGTCGTCTTAAAAGGACCAGTAAGGCTTGAAAGGTGCTCCTCCCCCCCCCCCCCCCCCCCCCCCCCCCTCCCCCCCCCCCCCCCCCCCCCCCCCCCCCCCCAGCCAGCCCAGCACACTCTATTACTCCCACATGGCTGCCTGCTCCCATCACATGCCCCGGCGCCCGCATGTTGCCCACATAATCTGGGTGCCAGGGGGCTGCCTCTTATTGAGGGCTTCACCTCCTCCCAGCCTGCTCCCTCTCTACGTCTGCACATGGATTCACCATATGCAGGCTATATGCCTGTTGCTGCGCTCGCCCTTCTCTGTCTTTGCAAGCATGGCACGATCCTGATGTTCCCGTGCTCCGTGCCCGCTGGAAACAAAGGCCATGCTCCCTGTGTGTGGCCAGAGCAGAGGGGGTGGGGCTTGTTGCCGAGGCAATAATACAGCAGGTCTGGGGTTGCCTGCAGGGTAGCGTCCCACTCCGGAAATAAATACCAGAGTGAGACCTGGTCACTGTCTGTCCCTGTTTTATCTCCTCCTCACTGTGCTGGTGTGGTCCTGAGCTGTGGCTAGACCCCCCTGTCCTGTACCCAGTGGATTACAGGAGACCCCTGTCTGACCTGCCTCCTCTACCAGTCCTAGAGTCCCACGCCTGGATATGCTTCTGCTGCTGACTGGTGAGTCCTCAACTCTTGCTGTGCCAGAGTTCTGCCCCTCCTTGCTGTGCGCCCTGCCTGTGCCAAGGACTTTAATCCCTGCTGTGCCAAATACTGCCAGCCCATGTGCCATGGATTTAGCCCTGTTGTGCTGGATCCCGTTCCATCCTTGCTGTGTGCCCTGCCTGTGCCAAGGACTTTAAACTCTGCTGTGCCAAATACTGCCCTGCCAGTGTACAAGGCCTTAGCCCTGCTGTGTGCCCATTCCTGTGTCAATGATTTAACCCCTTTGTCTGCCTTTCAATAAAAGCCTTGTGTGTACTCCTGCTCTCTCTGTGTGTGTTCTGTCCCACCTTCAGCACCGTCACAACCCCACTTGCAGAAAAAGCCAAGATTTACATATAACTTCAGCTGCCTATACTGCTGAGTCAATTGATTTTGACATGATTTCACTGAAAGCAACCTTTTTTGTATTTTTCAGAATAATTTAGTTGCCCGGGTTTCTGACAGGTTTACTTTGAAGCCCAGCAGTTTAATGAGCTGGAACGCTGTTGGGTTGTTTTAAAAAGGATTCAGTAGTAAAAGTGATTTTAAAATGCTTTTTTTTTTTTAAATTGCAAACATATTTATACTTGCCTGCTCTGTGCAATAGAGTTTTCAGTGTGGCCCTGAAACTCCTCTTCTTGGGTCGCCTGCAGGGACTCCTGGCTCCTCCCCTCCGCCAAGTACCCGCATAGAAGTCACTTTCTATGGAGGCACTCGTTTGTACTCGCTCCTGAGCCTTGTTGTCTGCATCTGTTGTCACAGACTGTGGGACTCTGCCCCTCCACCCTGCTCACTTGTCACTGGCTGTAATTGACAGCAGCTTTGCTGCCTCAACAAAGCCATTGAGAACAGACAGGAATGGCACTGGATCGATTGAGGACTCGGGTAAGTAAAGGATGAGTGGGGGGTTGAACGGAAGATTCTACTTCTGGATTAATTTGAAAAGTGCATGTGTGCATAGATTTAGTTATGATTTTTCTCGGGTGCAAAGAAATGTGTTAATCCCCATGAAATATAACTTTTTTTGATATCTCAACGATTGTTGGATATCCTCTTAACTCTTAGATAACTGAGCAAGCGTTGTGAAAATGACATCTTTCGAGTGAAATTCTATAGGTGTAAGATCAGCTTAACCACTTCTAGTCTGGACACTTTTACCCCTAAAAATAGAGCAGAGACAAACCACCTAAAATGACACGAATAGCTGGTGTCATTATCATATCTCCGACTCACTTGTATAAGTGTGGATCCATAAACCAAAAAAAATGCATACTAAACAATATGGTAGTGTGACAAGAGCACCCCTACCTGAAAACAGAAGGTTACTAAATGATCCACGCGGAGTAATATGAATTCAAAAAATTCAGACAATACTTTATTTGATCACATAGATCATAAGGAGGTTAAACATGAGCACGGTGAACATATCAAACAAATAAAATCATGTTTAAAAAGCACTAGGCGTCTTCATTATAGGGTCATTTTAGCAAGTAGAGCACCATATATGGCAATATAGGGTAATGGTGAGGTAATTCTCCTAGATTTCCATGGATTTCCAGCTTATATTAGAGTGAGCCATGTATACAGCAGATATATTCCCAATATACGTCAGGAACCTCCTGGTATGTGAAGGCTGGAACACAAAAAATACACAATGTATGTATGAGAATATAGGAGCTAAATCACATCCAGGCCTCACCACGCCTCCCTCTACAGCAATAAGTGGACACTTCAATTACCTTCTCAGTTGTAAGACTGTCATACCCGCTTCTCAAATATAGGGACTTCCTGGGTAACCACCCCAAGTGAAACAAAGTCCACAGTACCAAATGATTCTGGGGATATATATAAAAATATAAATGTAAATGTATAGATCACAGGCATCAAGTGAACCCTGAAAACAAGAAACACAATATAGGTATATTACCATCAATGAAGATCAAGAAGACTCCCATCGACTTGAAATAAGATCAGGTCCTTGATGCTTGTTCAGAGGTGCATATGGGGGTGGGAAGCCAGGTAGTCACAGTACATAGATTCCAAACACATATGATATGTATGTAGCAGGCCGTGAAAACCTGAGTCTATATACCCAATAAAGGGTTTCCAAAAATTACTCAATCTGAGAAAATTGGAGCGGTTTCATTAGGATATGGCAATGTCACAGCATACAATGCCTAAATAGGATAGCGTGTATATATGTATATATATATGTTATCCTCTAAAGAGGATTTCAAAACATTCCCCGTGTATACAGGGTGAATTAGGCCCATATGAGATGCCTTCTTAACTCCATATATGCTCTATAAATCTGGACAGCTGTAAGCTTAAATAACTTGCCACCGGTGGAAGATATATTCCCCTAGGGCAGTGGTGGGCAACCTTTTTTTTTCAACTGAGCCAAATCTCGCCAAAACCACGATTGAAATTTATTTTGAGAGCCACATTTTTAAAACTGAAAATACATCTCCCATATAGTAATTCATCCCCCATAGAGTAATTCATCCCCCATATAGCAATTCATCCCCCATATAGCAATTCATCCCCCATATAGCAATTCATCCCCCATATAGCAATTCATCCCCCATATAGTAATTCATCCCCCATATAGTAATTCATCCCCCCATATAGTAATTCATCCCCCCATATAGTAATTCATCCCCCCATAGTAAGTCCCCCCCCATATAGTAAGTCCCCCCCCATATAGTAAGTCCCCCCCCATATAGTAAGTCCCCCCCCATATAGTAAGTCCCCCCCCATATAGTAATTCATCCCCCATATAGTAAGTCCCCCCTGTGTCAATTCACTTACCTTTGCTCCGCGCGTTCCTCTCGCCGTGCTTCCCGCGCCGTTCTGGTCTTCAGGGCGGACTGTGAGAGGAGAGGAGTTCGTCACGCTGCCCCGCCTACATCCTGGCTGCCCCGCCTACATCCTGACAGCTGCAGAGTCCTGACTTTTGGGGCGGCCGCCCGAGAGGAGGGAGGGGAGCGGGCGGCCGTCCGAGAGGAGGGAGGGGAGGGGAGGTGAGGGGGCGGCCCGCCCTGCACACGCCCGTCCGAGAGGAGGGAGGGGATCGGGCGCCCGGCACACAGAAGAGCCGCATTTAAGCTTGTAAAGAGCCGCATGTGGCTCGCGAGCCGCGGCTTGCCGACCACTGCCCTAGGGGATTGCCGTTTGCGAACCGCTGTTATAGTAGCCTTATGGTCGTTTTCCAGAGGGCCTCGTGCCTTCCTAGCAAGGAGCTGTGACACCGCCGTTCCTTCCCACCTCATGGGCGCCGCACCCTATGAAGACGCCGAGCGTAGTGACGTCAATACGTTGACGCGTTTCGTCCGCCAATCACCGCAGACTTCGTCAGAACTGGGAGGGGACTTCAGTCCTTTGGTATGCAATTAGTGCACCATATAAGGCAAAGAGTCTCCACCTCGCCATCTTGTGTTGAAAGAGTATCACTACATTTGAAATATCCAAAGTGAATTAAAACACAAATACTAGATTTAAATTGACTGCTGGAAATAAAAAGGAGGGACCATATTACTGTAAATCAGATCATCTTTAAAGAGGATAATGGAGAGGAACTATTATTATAGTAATAAATAGGGAGACATCAAGACAGGGTTCAGCTTCCTAATTTTAATAATAATCTAGTTATTATAGGAGTTTTAATATATAATGGGAATAGGAAGAATCACATAGTCAGATTCATACTTTGTCCAGATAGATCCATATTTCCTTGCTAGGAAGGCACGAGGCCCTCTGAAAAACGACCATAAGGCTACTATAACAGCGGTTCGCAAACGGCAATCCCCTAGGGGAATATATCTTCCACCGGTGGCAAGTTATTTAAGCTTACAACTGTCCAGATTTATAGAGCATATATGGAGTTAAGAAGGCATCTCATATGGGCCTAATTCACCCTGTATACACGGGGAATGTTTTGAAATCCTCTTTAGAGGATAACATATATATATACATATATACACGCTATCCTATTTAGGCATTGTATGCTGTGACATTGCCATATCCTAATGAAACCGCTCCAATTTTCTCAGATTGAGTAATTTTTGGAAACCCTTTATTGGGTATATAGACTCAGGTTTTCACGGCCTGCTACATACATATCATATGTGTTTGGAATCTATGTACTGTGACTACCTGGCTTCCCACCCCCATATGCACCTCTGAACAAGCATCAAGGACCTGATCTTATTTCAAGTCGACGGGAGTCTTCTTGATCTTCATTGATGGTAATATACCTATATTGTGTTTCTTGTTTTCAGGGTTCACTTGATGCCTGTGATCTATACATTTACATTTATATTTTTATATATATCCCCAGAATCATTTGGTACTGTGGACTTTGTTTCACTTGGGGTGGTTACCCAGGAAGTCCCTATATTTGAGAAGCGGGTATGACAGTCTTACAACTGAGAAGGTAATTGAAGTGTCCACTTATTGCTGTAGAGGGAGGCGTGGTGAGGCCTGGATGTGATTTAGCTCCTATATTCTCATACATACATTGTGTATTTTTTGTGTTCCAGCCTTCACATACCAGGAGGTTCCTGACGTATATTGGGAATATATCTGCTGTATACATGGCTCACTCTAATATAAGCTGGAAATCCATGGAAATCTAGGAGAATTACCTCACCATTACCCTATATTGCCATATATGGTGCTCTACTTGCTAAAATGACCCTATAATGAAGACGCCTAGTGCTTTTTAAAATGATTTTATTTGTTTGATATGTTCACCGTGCTCATGTTTAACCTCCTTATGATCTATGTGATCAAATAAAGTATTGTCTGAATTTTTTGAATTCATATTACTCCGCGTGGATCATTTAGTAACCTTCTGTTTTCAGGTAGGGGTGCTCTTGTCACACTACCATATTGTTTAGTACACTTTTACCCCTTCCTGCCCAGGCCAATTTTCAGCTTTCAGTGCTATCACACTTTGACAATTGTGTGGTCATGCAACACTGTACCCATATGAATTTTTAAGCATTTTATTGAGACAGATAAAGCTTTATTTTGGTGGGATTTTAAATTTTTTTTTTTTTGCTTATAAAATTTAGCAAATAAATAGAATTTCATCATAAATCTTGGCCAAAATGTATTCCGTTATATTTTTAGTGTAAAAAAAAAAACCCCAAATTAGTTTATAACCAAAAATGATAATATTTAAACATTTTTTCTTTTTTTATATTTTTTCTTTATTTTTTTTATTACATACTGTCACCATGGTGACACTGTACTACTTGTGGTGGGTGGTGATTTTTTTTTTTTTTACACCCATGAAGGATGGAAAAGGATGTTTCTCCTTCTCTCTAGATGCATTCTTGCAGCCATTGAGAACTACTGTGTGAGCTGTGTTTGGTCACAGTTTGTCACATGGTACAAGGCTGTTGTGAATAGTCTTGTACCATGTGAGTTCTATGATCATTCACAGATTTCACACGTAGTAAGCAATGATGTCACAAGTGACATCTTGCTTACTACTCTGCATGTGATCACTGATTGGCCAATCAGTGATCACATGATCGGGACCTCGTACAGAGGTCCCGTCTGACGATCAGTGTTCCACTGTGTCCGGAGGACACAGCGGGCACCAGATCGCGGTGCTGCGCACTTCCAAGGAGCGCGCACAAGCAGGGTGCGGGGAGGCCGTTTATAAACAGCCACCCGACCCTGCACTGCCACCGTCCGGCCATTTTATATACAACGGCCGGATGGGAGGTGGTTAAAGGATAAGTTCACCTTTGATAACATGTTACATGTTTCACCCATTTTTTATGGTGGAACTTGTAACATGTTCCAGTGCTGCAGCCGCTACACCCCAACCCCCCTCCCTCCCTCCGCTCACATGGCTGTGTCATTCATTCAGTGTTTAGTGTATAAACTACAAGTTTTGACAGCCTTAGCAACTGTTGGATTGTAGTTGTCGATAAACTACCATGGCACTATGGAACGCTGTGGTAGTTCATCGAGTCTTCCTGTCTGTATATATGCTTGCTCTCGTATGGGCAAGCATATATACCCGCAGGAGACCTGCATGGTACCAGCGATCTGCTGATTTGCTGGTGCAATACTTTACAGGCTCCTCCTTTTTTTTTTTTTTTTTTTTTTTTTTTTTTTCCCTGCAAAAGGTGAACTTATCATTTAACACTTGATCATATGATCTGCCTAAGGGTTCTTGGGGAAGGCTATTTGGATATAACTGAAAAATGATCTCCTCTGGTGGAATTTTGATTCTTTCCTTCATCAGAGACTGTGGTCAGTGCTTCAGTAAAATAACTGGTACCGAGAGGGTTGAGGTTGAAATTGGAGGAGTAAAGTGGATTTAGTGTGTCTTAATTCTTATCGTCACTAAAGGACTGTTAGAGAAAGGAGAGTTTTATTTATCCCTGTGAAACATGGCATGTAAACATTTCTATATGTAAATCTTTTAAATTTCTTCTACCAGTACATGTTTATCAGCTGGACATCAGTGTGAAGCAAGGACAGGACAAGGTGAGAGAGAGCTGTTTCAGAAGAATGCACTTGTCACAGACCCAAGGGTGATTGATTTACTTGTAATCAAGGTAAAGTATTTTTATTTTTATAGTCCTGATCATATTCTTAAGCCTTTAAGATGCTTCTGCTTGTTATACTTTCCACCTAGTGAACCTTTATTTAGTAAGGTTATTTATACTGACAATATAGAAATTACACCGGCAACCAGTTAAAATGGTGTAAAATTGACTCAACCTTTCTGTTATGTGTGTGTCTGTGTGCCGCATGGAGAAGAGAGAGAGCAGCAAAGAGGATTTGAGAACAAAAATTGTGAAAAGCATGGACATTCTCAAGGTTACAAGCCCATCTCCAGCGATCTTAATGTTTCTGTGTCCACTGTGCGCAATATTGTCAAGAAGGTTACAGCCCATGACACTGTAGCTAATCTCCCTGGACGCGTACGAAATAGAAAAATTGGACAAAGATTGCAACAAAGAATTGTTCGAATGGTGGCTAATGAACCTTGATCAACTTCCTGACAAATTCAAGCTGATATTCAGGCACATGGTACAACTGTGCCAGCTCACATTATACGTTGCCATCTGAATGAAAAACTTGCCAAAACTTACCTGATATGCTGTGGAAAGACGAAACACAATTACAGCTTTTTGGTAAAGCCCATCATTCTACTATTTTCAGAAAAATGAGGCCTTAAAAGACTACAGTCCCTACAGTCAAACATGGTGGAGGTTCACTGATGTTTTAGGGTTACTTTGCTATTTCAGGCAGTGGATGTCTTGACCAAGTGCATGGCATTATCAAATCTGAAGACTACCAAAGAATTCTAGGGTGCAATGTAGGGCCCAGTGTCAGAAAGTTGAATCTCCGTCAGAGATCATGGGTCGTACAGCAGGAGAATGACCCAAAGCACACATTGAAAAACACCAAGAAATGGTTTCAGAGAAAGCGCTGGAGAGTACTGAACTGGCCAGCAATGAGTCCAGATCTCAATCCCATAGAGCACATGTGGAGAGATCTCAAAACAACAATTGCAAAAAAGAACCCTTCCAATCTAAGAGACCTGGAGCAGTTGGTGAAAGAAGAGTGGTCCAAAATTCCAGTAGAGAGATGTAAGAAACTCATTGATAGTTACAGGAAGCAATTGATTTCAGTTATTTCTTCCAAGGGGAGTACTACCAAATGTTAAATTGAGGGTGCTGATAATCTTGTCCAGTCCATTTTTGGAGTTTTACGTGAATGTGTCGGATATGGCTTTTTGTCTCTCTACTTTTTGTGTCATACCAATACAAACATTAGAAATAATCGTGAGAATGCCTAAACATTTGTAATTGCAACAATTTTCTGGGCGAAATGCGGGGGTGCTGATAATTTGTAAGCTCCAAGGAGCAGGGCCCTCCTATCCCTCTTGTATTGAAATGTATTTTTGCTGTATTGTCTCCCTTTATATTGTAAAGCGCTGAGTAAACTGTTGGCGCTATATAAATCCTGTATAATAATATAATAATTTTTTTCATGACTGTACATGGATCCATCATGTTAGTTAATGCTAAGCGTTCTCCAGTGCAGCCTGAGGAGCTATTCAAATGAGCACTCCAACCACCATCCTTTTAAGAGAGACTTGCTTTAACGATTTTACTGAGCCATCCAGGACTGCTTGGTATGCAGCTGGAATGTGTGTTTTGGATGGTCACTTGAGGTGCCTATGCTAGCAAACCCCAGATACTTTCCTTTCTTTTAGAACTTCAGTCCCTAGACACTCTCATTGCCCTTTTAGTGCTCTTGGTGTAACAAGCTGTAAACAAGCTCATGGCCACAAGAGCAGCAACACATTTGTTTGCATTTATCTTGAATTGATTGTAGCTGTCGCATCAGAGGATAAAACTGATAGAAATATTCCAACAACCCCCCCCCCAATACTGGCTTTCAGTTGACCACTTAACCTTTAACCTCAGACATAAACTAATTGGCAGGAAACTTCATCCTGAATATGAAGTCACCAGATAAAGGAACTATGCCCTGCAACAAAAAAAAACACAATATGAACTGCAACAAAATGAATCTATTAAAAAAAGTGTCACACACTCAAAAGGGACTTGCAATATCACAGTACTGCTATGTACCTTATTCAGTGCAAAAAGGTAGCAAAAGCGAAACAGGACAGAAGTTACAAACAAGGATGAATGTGCACAGACACACCATCAAGGAACATAAGAGTTTTCTGCACACTTGTGGGATTTCATTTCTCACAACTAGACCACACTATGCAAGACATTAATGTTTTATTTCTTAAAGGATATGTTCACCCTTTGTAGCATGTTACACCCATATTCAGGGTGTAACATGTTACAATCTGACCGGCGCTCCACAGTGCCATGGTACTCCATCGAGCCTTTCTGTCAGTAGTATCTGCTTGCTCGTACAGGATGTAACAGCAAATAGATATACTGACGGGTCTAGGGGGGTCTGCTGATTGCTGAAGCAATGCTCCATAGACAAGAAATAATAAATGCACATTTTTTTTACCTGCAAGGTGAACTTATCCTTTTTGAAGGGCATTTCAAAACCACTCAGGAAAGGAAACATTTTGAACTAAAGTAGTACACCCAATCAAAAAATCGTACGAAAAATACTACTTTCAAAGCGATCGTACGATAATCTGATTGTTAGTACACAGCTTTCATCCGAAATTGATCAAAGGGACAAGCACGAAAAGTTTTCTCGTACGATACCAGATCGTACGATTTTCATTTTAATCAGTACAGTTTTCGTCTGAAAATACAATGCCAATTCATTAATTCTGAAATTGTAACTTTAGTAATCTCTTCACTATCTAAATGAGACTAGCATGCAAAATAAAGCAGATGATCATTCATCCAATATTCTCATCGTGTGCATGGGGATTAAGAATAATTTTATTTGACACAAAAGGTAATGGGCTGGTTTTAGACCTAGGATTTCTTCATCATTCTCCAACAGTTTTATGCCCCCCCTTCTCATAAGCACATTCAAAAGGTGTTAATTATGCATTGGATTTCCTGTCTACCTGTCACATTTTCTGAGGCCCTAAAATGCCAGGACAATATAAACACTCCCCAAATGAGCCCTTTTTGGAAAGTAGACATTCCTGCACTCTTTACAAAATGGCTGAATTACCCAATTTCAGCTTTACAGACTATACAAGATAACGTATAGTGTGTTTATATATGTGTATTTATTGTGTTCAGGCATGCAGTTTTTGAAAATCTGCTAATCAGGTTTCATTTAAATTGTTCTTTTGGACTGAGCTTGTCTAAACACAAAAACTACTTCAAAACCGTTTCAGTGGCTGTGAGCGCAGTATAAAACTATATGTAGCCTCAGCTAGATATAGTATGTAGGGCTGTGTTCCGGCAGTGGGACAAGAACTCCCCGTCCTACTCCCCAGAACAAAATCTTTTCGCACTGAGCACTGCTCAGCCATTCAGAGGGAGCTTTGTGTTTTATGAATAAATGCAAAGTTTCCTTGAATTGAATGGGCTGTCCTATGAGTGAAACATATCATGATGCAGTGTTAAAGGGGGCCAAGGGACTTGTTGGAAACAAAAATGGTTCAGGTCTATAAACGTTTTAACACACTTTTCACCCAGCGTTTGCACATTTTTCAGTTGAGCCCTGGCTTGACTACCAGACAGTCTCTAGATTTACAACATGACTGGTCCATCTGTAACTGGTAATTCTGTCATCTCCCCACTTGATCTGTCTTGAGATGGATCCGCGACCTAAATCCCCGTGGCAAAAAACCTCCCTTCTTTTAACCTCCTTCTTTTTTCTTCACCTCCTTTGGTTCCTTTTATTGAGTTCTTTGGCTCCTCCTTCTCTATAACTCACTAGAAGACCCTCATCTCTTGCTTTCAGGACAATTCCCCTTCTTAATTCCATTCTCTCTCCTGTATTGCTTAGCTTATTAAAGGATTGGGTGGGCTTTTCCAATTATCAGGACGCTGTACACTATGCAGCTTATGCTACACGATACAGTGGGTATAAAAAGTCTACACACCCCTGCTAAAATGTCAGGTTTATCTGATGAAATAAAATGAGACAAAGATAAATCATTTCAGAACTTTTTCCACCTTTTAATGTAACCTATAAACTGTACAACTCAGTTGAACAAAAATCTTTTAGGTGGAGGGAGGTAAAAATAAAAAACTAAAATAATGTGGTTGCATAAGTGTGCACACCCTTAAACTAATACTTTGTTGAAGCATCTATTGATTTTATTACAGCACTCAGTCTTTGTGGGTATGAGTCTACAGCATGGCACATCTTGACTTGGCAATATTTGGCCACTCTTTCTTGCAAAAACACTCCTCATCTGTCAGATTGCGTGGGCATCTCCTGTGCACAGCCGTCTTCGGATCACCCTACAGATTTTCGATTGGATTCAGGTCTGGGCTTTGGCTGGGCCATTCCAAAACTTTATTCTTCTTCTGGTGAAGCCAATCCTTTGTTGATTTGGATGTATGCTTTGGGTTGTTGTCATGCTGAAAGATGAAGTTCCTCTTCATGTTCAGCTTTCTAGCAGAAGCCTGAAGGTTTTGTGCCAATTTTGACTAGTATTTGGAACTGTCCATAATTCCCTCTACCTTGACTAAGGCCCCAGTTCCAGCGGACGAAAAACAGCCCCAAAGCATGATGCTGCCACCACCATGCTTCACTGTGGGTATGGTGTTCTTTTGGTGATGTGCAGTGTTGTTTTTGCGCCAAACATATCTTTTGGAATTATGACCAAAAAGTTCAGCCTTGGTTTCTCCAGACCATCACACATTTTCCCACATGCTTTTGGGAGATTTCAGATATGTTTTTATAAAATTTAGCCGTGCTTGGATGTTTTTCTTTGTAAGAATAGGCTTCTGTCTTGCCACTCTACCCCATAGCCCAGACATATGAAGAATACGGGAGATTGTTGTCACATGTACCACACAGCCAGTACTTGCCAGATATTCCTGCAGCTCCTTTAATGTTGCTGTTGGCCTCTTGGCAGCCTCCCAGACCAGTTTTCTTCTTGTCTTTTCACCAATTTTGAAGGGAC